TTCACAAGCCTAGAATAAAAGCTTTCATTGTTGTTGTAGCAGAAAAAAATACCCAAAAAAGTTTTAGGAAATGCTGTTAAATTGAAAGTCCTTAGAAAGAATCAAATCAGAAAACTTGTTCACGTAAAAGCGCTATGGCCAAATCCGATATTAAAAGCTTATAGAAGTCAAAGCTTTTTTTCTAAGTTACCACAACAACGTAGTTTCATTAGAAAATAAGAAAAGCTCCACCTAAAAATGTACGCTTCTTTGTCTTATATCTAAAAAAAGGTTATATTTAATTCAGCAAATACTACGGAGTTAGTGTGAAGGTTCGAATAACTAATCAGTGAAAGCTCACGCAGCGATTTTATAATGGAAATATACAGGGGCGCACCCAGGAATATATTTTAGGGGGGGTTTTATATTTCTGAAGATATATCACCGGAAAATAATGAAAATTTGCTTCAGATAATACCCTCTTTAAAATAAATTTATGCAAGTTTTATGTACAGTATGTAATAAATAAATAAACGTTTTAAAATTCATAAACTGCACTTTATTTACAGATTAACAGAACTCAAACGCTTTTAACCGACTTAAAACAAAAAGGGAGGTTATTATCTCGCCGGAATACATAACTTTGGACCACGTGAACCGTTTTCAATAATCATTTTTTTATTAGAAAGATAGTACCTCAAGGTTCGTCCCGTAATTTGTTTTAGAGATCCGATGATTGGATCATGAAGAAGTTAACGGTACCCCTAAATTTGAATATGAGAATTGAAGTCGGTTGTGTTCTTTCCTTAAATACTACTTGTTTAATAAAAAGTTCTATAAACTCAAGATGCGCTCAACTTTCAAAAGTACCTAATAAAAAATTAAAAAACAGTCAGTAAAAATAAATTTATTGATTCCATGAATTTTTGCACTTCTATGTTTATTTTTCGATTTCTGGTTTTCGATAGAGATGGTGATTTTTCACGATTGCTAAATTTTTTTAATATTTCAAATACCGAAAAAATTAACTGAACTCTCAAGAATAACGAAAAGTTCATATAAAACGACGGACGAGAAATGGAAAAGAAATTTTCTTCTACCAAAATTTAATAAATCAGTTTGCAGCTCTCAAGAAAAAAAATGCTCGTATATTTATTCCCTCATTAAAATTTACAGCAAAAGCAAAGCGCTTTTTCAAGCAACAGAAATTATAATAAATATTTCTTATAATTTCCTTGAGAGCTGGATTCTTAGCTTTAAGATATAGATTGTATTTGAGGTTATTAGCTTTAGGGGGGGTTTGAACCCCAAAACCCACCCCTTCTGTGCGCTAATGGAAATATAACATACTTATGTATGAACATATCGTTACCTAAAGGTGAAAAGGTGCCAAATCCATTTTTTGAAATTATTCAGGAGAGGCGGAGAGAAAATCGATGCAGTTTCGCATTATCATTCTGCATCTAAAACTAAATTTTGAAAAAAGTGGACTTAGCACCTTTTCACCCTTAGGTAGCGATATTTAACTCCACTTTTATGTTACAAAAATTAAAAAAAAAAAATGTTTACAGTTTTTGAACAAAAGCCTTGTTGCTAGCGGTGAAAGCTCGCGTGAAAAGTGAAACTGTGTACAAATAGTATGCATCATTGTTAAAGGTTAAATAAATTTCAGTACTAAAACTTACCTTAAATTACTTGAAATAATTTATCTAATTGCTTTGCTTGGAAAGCTCAGGAGTTAATGCTCATAAGAAAAAAGTCTAAGTAAAAGCTAACAATAAAAAAAAATTAAATAAACTAGACTCTCGTTAGAAAGAACCAAACAACAATGTTTTGCAGTGAAAGCTCTCTATGAGCATTTCACAACAACCAAAAGCTTTAAAAGTGCTCGGAGATTTTTTCAATGTTAAGTTCATTCATGGTTAAAACATCTTTAACGATAGAAGCTTTTTAAAGTTTCCGAAAGAATTTTTGTTGATCGTCGCTGGTGTTGATAAAGCTCGACTTGGCAATACACTTTGAAAGCCAAATAGGTGCTTTGTACTATTGAATTTTTCTGGCTTGTAGCTAAAAAAGCGTCGATTGAATTCCGAAAACTTGTAATATAGTTAAGACTGTTTTTCGCAAATATTAGTACCTTGTCATAATGGTGGAATTCCTCTAAACTGGTGAAAAACTCGTACATGGGGAAGCTTTTGTTTTTGAACTCGGTGATCCTGAGTGCTATAAAAATGCAGCTGTTTCCGTCGATGTTCTTCTTTACTCCTAGAATTTATATGCATTTACAACACGTCGATTTGTCTGGAGAAGCTACGACTACTTAAAATATAACCTGCCCGATAAGCTTTTAAAAGCTTTATTTATATTTTATATGGGCATGCAGAGAGCAAAGGCTCTCTCTCTAGCAGTAGTAGACTCCCACGATTGAGAGAATACAAAGGTTGCGCCGATCTCGGACCGCTATTCCTCTCTTAACGAATTTGACAGAATCGTGGTTTGCATGACGTCACACTTGTGCAACTTGTTTACGTTTTCCTTGCAACATTTTTTCTTCTTCTTCCGTTCTTGCTCACGTTTTGGCATTTCTCTCTCGCAATTGCACCAGTGTGACGTCACACAAAAGTTATTCTCAAAAATCCTCTCTGATCGGCGCAATCTTGTATTCTATCATTCTTGGTAGACTCCTCACTTTTTAATACTAAAAGCTCACTAACTGTAGAAAAGCTCTACTCTTCATGACAGCAAAGCTCTTAAATATTTCTTCAACTTCTTCGTAAGAAAGTAGGTTCTTTTTTCCATATACTTCAAGTACAAAATGCTCCCCAACCTTTTTTCCAAAACAATTCTTCAATGAACGCACTGAAATCATAGCAACGTCAATAATAGCATCTAAGCAACCCACACTCCCTTAAGTAGCGCTCCTGATGTATTGTATTTCCTCAGCTGTTTACAGTCTTTGTCCCTTCCTTATTTTAGTAATAAAGCTATACAAAAGCTCTCTCGTAAAGCAAAGCGCAGGCAAAAAGTGTATAAACAAGTTCGCGCGAACAATTGAATGTTTGAAGATTTGAAGTTGCTGATTTGTTGTAACTACAAATAAGCACTTCCGTTGAAGAATAACTTTTTTT